ATAACATAATTAAGTCAATTCAAAAATTACGTTTTTTTTGTTTATTTTCGATTTTTCCATGCTTTAATATTGTCGGAGGTATTTTTAACCAACACCATCGAAAAGAGCATCGTTAAAAACATAGAAACACTGGTTATCGAATATTTTTTCGTCGCACTCATTACGTGACAAGGGTTTAAATGGAAATGTGTTCACTGAGCATTTATGGGTTAATGTGACGTGGTATGTACCATATGAATATCGTTTTTCATTACTTTTAAGACAATTACGGCAAATATTAACAATTTAAGAAAAAAACTTTCCAAAAAAAAATTTCGCAGACCTGTGTAATTAAAACGCCGATTTGAAAAAATAAAAATTTCGAGGTGCAACTTTCGCTTTAGATAGCTTCTGCATGGAAAGGAAAATGTTCGTACCTGTTCTTTGTCCTCTTGTGTTTTTGGATAAAGAGTAAAACTAACATATATTTCTCCTAAATTAGTTGTTGGACGGGATGGATCTTGAAGGGGAAGGCTAAGGTCGGCTGTTTTTCCTATATCTAATTGTGTAAATTCTACTGTTGCTGATCCCATAAAATCGTCCTAAAACGTCATAAAGGACCGTGTAATACGTTTCTTTTAGATTTTGTAAAAAATGCATGTAAATGTACCTGCAACCCCCAGTCATAATCGAAAACCTTTATTTGGAGCGGGACAAAAGGATCTTCAACGGGGATCGTAAACGTTTCATCCCACAATGGGTTCAGATCCCGGTAAACAGTCTTCGATTTGTAAACTAATCTACCACCTAATTTAAATTTAACGTATGGGTCACTCGTTCCTGAAATTGAAATAACAGATAATTCGTTGTACAATCAACAGACAGTTATAGAGCTGGAGCTGCAACGTAAAGAAGTAAAATTAGGAAGGGAGCCAGACAGGGATGCACACTTTCACCGCTACTTTTTAACCTATACATGCAAGATGCGATCAACATCATTAAAGGCAGTACAAATGTAGGGATAGATATAAGTGGGCAAAAGATAAGTATACTTAGATTTGCAGATGATATAGCAGTATTAGCATCTAGCAAGGAGGACTTAGAGATAGCTTTAAATAAAATGGAAGAGCGGTATTGACAAGACAGTATTGTATGAAAATAAATAAAAGTAAATCAAAAATACTGGTATGCAACGGAAGAAAAAGTAGGGAAGGAGCGAATATAAATGTAGAAGAGGTGGCCGATTTTAGGTATCTAGGAAGTCAGATAAGTCAATGCGGAAGGAGTAGTAGGGATATAAAGCGGAGGATAGCGCAGGGTCGAGTCGCTTTCAATAAAAAGAAATTATACTCTCGAACAGTTGATTTAGAAATTCGTAATAGATTGTTAAAGGTGTATATTTGGAGAGCGGCACTGTACGGGTGCGAAATATGGACAGTGGGCGTGACGGAAAAGAAAAGGTTACAAGCGTTCGAAATGTGGTGTTACGGGCAAATGATGAGAATAGCGTGGATAGAGAAGGTTAGAAATGAAGAGGTATCAGAAAGAATAGGAGAACAGAGAACTCTACTGAAGTCAATAAGAAATAGGTTGGTAGGACACCTATTGTCAGGTATTCGCTATGTGCACGTTGACGCCAGCGCCTGAACTGTCGGTTTTAGAAACTTTACAGTGAATAAATCCAATTACTTAAGACATTATACACGCTCAAAAAAAATAATTATTTAATACAATTTATTAAGTTTTATCCTGCAAACTATGCCACCATGTCAGAAAGCACTTTTTTCGTGTTCTGTAATTCATTGTTCAAATACAACGCGTAATTCAAGTTTCGAATTTTATTGTTTTCCAATCGCAAATTCACTGTTTCCACACAAATTACCGAGGCGACTAAATTCGTTAGGTGCAGTCCGAAGGCAACAGTATGTATAAGAATTTCGTTATTTTGTGAATATATATTATTAAAGAAGTAAACAATATATAACAGTATATACTATAATATCCGGAAATATAATAAAACAAATATAATTTTTAAATATACATAGTTCTCTATTGAGCTATAAAAAATTAGACATTGATAAAATGAATAAATTTTCGTATGAATGTTAGACTAATTAGAAATTAGATTGACGAATAATTTTCTAATCTTATATTATCATAACCTTATTTACATTTAATTAGAATTAACTTGCCTTTAATTCTACTTTATAAGGTGATAAAGTAACTGAAGTTTGCCTGATAACACTGCACCTAATCAAAATGGTCACAACCATCTAATTCTTCAATTCTCATGACATGAAGAACGGCCAAAGCTTTATCTTTCAGAATTGTTTGAGGATTAAATTTAATAGAATAAGTTATCTTCAAAAAACCTAGTTCGAATAATTTTATTCATTATTATTATTATTATATAACCACTCCTCCTTGACTAGTTTAAATATTATGATATTTTTCCAACAAAACTATTTTATTTTAAATGTATTCAATTTAGCTTAAACGTATTTTTCTCACTGAGAAGTTTGAAAATTGGCCACAGACAGCGCCACAGTCACTTTTGCACATAGCGAATAAAGGTCTAGTCAGAGACATATTAGAGGCAGAAACAAGAGTTAAGAGGAGTAGAGGTAGACCTAGATTAGTAGTTAAGGATGTGGGTTGTTCTAGTTTTGGAGAAATGCTAAGATTAGCTCAGGATAGGAAAGAGTGGAGGTGTGTGTCCAATCAGTCTTAGGACTGACGGCCTTATGATGATGAATTAGTTGAAAGAAGTTGTCCGTTAAAGTCAACAAACGTCTAGTTGCGCAATATAGATAGTTGACCAGGGAAGGGGTGGTTAGATGAATTGCAGATAAAATAAATTTAATTTGTAAAGTTTTAATCGTTTACTACGAGAATAATATCTAAATTAAACGTTAACGTTTCTCCTGAAGTTTTCGAATTTATCTGCGTTCGGGGTCGGCTAGAATAAGGGTCCTATTTACGAAAACAAAAGTTGGGGGTGGATAAAATTTAAATAGGGGTCCACGAGAAATAAAGACGCATTGATGAATTTATATGTTGGCGGGTTTGACATTAAAAGAAAACATGTTGACAAAGAAATGTGTAATTTCTACATTCGCTCAACTTTTTGCCTTACCGGTACATTGATTGCTCGCTGTGCTAGGACTTAGAGCCTACATACATATGTACATGGAGTGCTGATGTACCCTTAGTACACGTCCGTTTGATAGGGAGCACTATTCGAAATCTCGGTTGGTGAAAGTTCCCTGTTTTGTAAAATAATTAATTTATCGGTATTTAAAGAGGGTATTAGGATATTTTTGAAATTTGATAAAGGACCTTTTTTTATTAAACTGATATTTTGAATTTGGTTATATGCAATAAATATTCGATTCTCATCTGTTATTTGAAAATTTGATGCGCTTGATGCACATTCATTGGTTGATATTTCGAATAGCGCTATCTATTATACGAACGTGTACTACTATGCTACTACGTTATTAGGATAGGCATTAGCACTCTATATATATATATATGCTCCAACCGCTAGGAGCATGCTATAAAAAGATAGCGGCGCTGTTATAAAAGCACGGCTTTAAGAAATGACTCGTAAGTTTTTGTGCATCTTTTTGTAGGAAAGTTTTATCGATTACTCTTTTATCTAATGAAGTCTTCCAAGGAGAAACCAATTTTCAGATGAAGGGTTGAAACTGATTTCATAATAAATTGAACTACATAAGCCTTCGTTCGACGTTCGGTTTTCATTATTCAACGGTGATTATTTTAGTAGAAGAAGACGTATCTCTGCGCCAAAATTAGTTTCCCAAAAATTATCGATAGTTTAATAGGGTAATAAATTTTATTGCTACAGGTCATTGCTAGATAGATTATTGTAATATTTTGATTAATTTTGGGAGTACAAAAACAAAATTTATGTCATCGTATTTCATAATAGGATAATTAGAAGTGCCCAACTGAATAGGAATTTATGCTAAAATTCGTTATCTCTTTTCTCTGGTCATCCTGATAACATTATGTACTGATACTCGACAGTGTGAACCGCAAAGAACGACAGTTGTTCACATTACTGATTTGTTCACGTTTGTAAATGTAGTAATTGACATTTATCAGAAGGGAGCTACAACTACGTAAAACATTAGTGAAATATCATTTTCTGCTAATGAAATTAGACATTTTTGTTTGTTTCTGACGATTTTTAATTGTTTGCATAATGGCTTTTCTCATAATCATTTTGTTCTGTATCGGGTTAGGTTAGGTTAACAAATAGGACAACCACTACTAACGAACTTTGTACCTATCCACATTAAATATACGTAACATCTCTTCAGTTGATGTGATTATGGAACTACCAAATTAATCGGGGATTTACAGCATTGGCGCAACAGCAATGGTGATGTTTGCCGTGAAATCACGAAATCTTGCCAATGAAACTCGATGTAAAACACTATATATACTGGCTTTATTTACAAATGAATTATTAACCAGGAAATAACGGATTACAACTACAGGCATAACGAAGAAAATGTGAATTAAAAACGCATGTTAACAAGAAGAAGGACAAAACGTAACTAACTCTAAATTAAGTGACAAAATCAAAAATTGTTCTGATGCCACTACCAATACCCGGCATGCAACAAAAAAATACGCGCTAGAAGTCAATAAGGGGAAAAACCCAATAAGGTATGACTCTGCTTCTAGCTGTGAAATTCTTGTAACCTGCATACAATTGAACAGCATCGATAATAAAGTTAACAAGGTGGTTGCCGTCGAAGACCTTGGCTGGACCTGACCATTGGGACCAAAACAGCCTATTATTGTTTGCAAAAGAACATTCAAAAGATCTTTGACTACTCTGTATGCATTTCAAATTTTGGAAATTTCCAATATGTACAATAAAATAAAATAGGTTGAATGAAAAAAATATTAAAATTAAACTGAAATAGGTGAAAGGTTGATTTTTGAGTCCAATGGTCATTCGTTTTTATAAACGCGGGTTTGCTTTGTTCACGGTAAACGGTGTTCTAGTACAATTAGTAAACGGTTTACATTATGCGGGGCTTCCGTTATGCTATGTTCACATTATCGATTATCTACTATGTCTACATGGTTCGTGAAACTGGTGTTTTTATTTTGTTTGTGTTTACGTATCTCTTAAAATTGTTACTTCAACCTTTTTAATAGCACAATTATCGAACAACCACCAATTACAAAATGTAAATCTACCCAGTAGAATCGATGAACTACTTAATTGATTAATAACATAAATTAAACTGATAATTTTTAATTTTTTGGTAACCATTAGATCAGATTGAAGAAGTAAAAAGAAATGTATTACTGAAGATTCGATAAGTGCTCCGCTTAGCACACTGAGATGTTACAAGGGAAAATACTCTAAGAAATCGCAGTCCATAAATTCAATTTCATTTTTTCCTAACTTGAAAATCTATTTTTCTTTTGTTTTCAATTTTGAAGATAATTTATTAATTGCAACGAATCGTTTATAAGGGAGGGTCTATGTTGTGACATAATATTTGCTATAAGCTGCAAAAAACATGACGAATGGGGGGATGGAGGAGTCCAAAAAGGTGAAATGTTGAGTGACGTATTTTATGAACCCTGAGTAATATCATTTTCTTTCAAAAATTAAAGTTGAATTTTCTCATTCTCTACCAGTTATGACCTATTATTCTCTAAATCTTTAAATATCCTACCAAAGTCAGACATTCTGAATGTAAAATAGCCACGAAAATTGCAGTGCAGCACCTAGATTACTTCTTTTTAGTGAAGATCAGCAAGAAAATCAAGTCGTTATTTCTTGAGAATTGTCCTTTCTTAATAGTATTGTAAATAGTGTCCGACCGAAAGTTCGGTTTCGGTTTCGGTCAAGTTTCGGCAAAAAAACGAGTTTCGGTTTAGTTTTGGTTTCGGCGGCAAACCTGCCGAAACTACGACCGAAACCGAAACTGCGTTCGGGAGTTCTCGCGCTCTGTTCGGTCATGTTCGGCGCGTTAAATTCCATCCAAGCGAAGTAGATTAGTAGACATTTCGCATCTTCAAAAGAAAAATGAGTCTAGTCTACTATACTTACTCAAATAAACATCTCACCTATTTTAAGTATTTTTAAGACGCAATTAAAGTATTTCCTTAAATGAGGGGTTGTTATGTTGATTTTGATTTGATTATCAATAAGTGAAAATGTCAAAGACTGCAGAGCTATGTGATTTAACGATAAAAAAATAAAACTAACTGATTATAATAACGTTTTCTTTTTTTTCTCTCAAAACATGATCCTTATAAGGAAGTTTCGGTTTCGGTTTCGGTTTCGGCCGAAACTAAGACCGTTGCCGAAATTCGGTTTCGGTTTCGGTCGTAAAAATCAGTTTCGGTCGGACACTAATTGTAAAGAGTGTAAAAATTACAAATAAAACTTTGTTGTGAGCTAAAAATTACTTTAGTAACAGTACTTGTATTTAAGGTTCACAATAAATCTTTTTAAATTCTTGGGATAAACTCTTTCAATTCCGGGACATAAGGAACAGAGAATTAAATTGCGAAACAATCTCCGATGTAGGGGTAATTTGGAGAAGTGCAGTACCTTATCCTTTTTTCTGTTCGTTTATTGATTTCAGTACAAAATAACACCTACATAACACTAAACTTGAAGTGACTTTATATAAAATAGAAGCTGTATTTTCAGCAGAGCATGAAATAAGAATATGGAACGTTCTTTTGCAAATTTAATTCCAATCTGATCGACACATTTTTGATTTGGTTGAAATTTTATTTACCTACGTCTTCTATACCGAAAAAAAAAAGAGATACGCGTTGTAGGAATTTTTGTTTTTTAATATTTTGGGAAATAGAAGTGAACGAAAATTTGAGAATTTGGTGATTTTTGGCTTGAAGTCTCATTTTCAAAAATTCATAACTCCAGTTCTACTTTAAGCTAGAAACTTCGTTTTGTTTTTCATTTTAAAGATAAAAAGAACGAATTTTAATAAAAAAAATGTTTTAATAAACATTATTAACAAATTAAACTAATATGATAATTAAAATGTTTAAATCGGTTTTAAACAATTGTCTCCACCTCGTAGCGAGTATTTAATATAACCATAGGGTTTTACATCAAATTTTCTATCAAAAACGTAATGGAGAAATTATTATTACTAACGGAAAAAAATAATTTATTCAGCGCGGCACGTTACATTGACGCCCGGAATCAATTGCACGCTCTATTTCCGTGCCTCAGATGGAAAAAGAGGTAGAGACAAAGGGGGTCGCTTTTAATAAAGAGAAATCACTTCTGTGTTAGCGAACGGTTAATTTAGAAATTCGAAGATTTCTAAAAGTACATTTTTTAAGCACGGTTCGGTGCGGGTGCGAAACGTAACGATGGGCGTGGCGGAAAAAAGGTTAGAAGTGTTTGATATGTAGCGTCATAGGAGGATGATGAGATAGGATGATAGCACACTTTTTGAGACACAAAGGGTTAGTTGGGGACGTTCTAGGTTACTTTTCGCAAATGGTTAAGGACGTCTGATGTTTTAGTTTTTCGGAGGCGGAATTATCCGACAAAATATTATTAATTAAAAAATAATTTCCCAGAATCAATGCCATCAAAAGAAAATGGAAAGACATACATTGGTTAAAGGTTCCTTTTTCTACAAGATCTTATAAAAAGACGAATCTTGGAGTAAATTTTAAAATATGTAATGTGCATTAAAAGAAATGTACAAGATTTAAATAATTCTTACCTGTTTTATCCATAGCTATTAAACCTTGACCTCTTCTTAAATGAACTCGCAACTGAAAGAAGGAATGTTGCCTTAGCGTTTGCTCCCTTCTTCTCTTAACTTCATCGGGGGAAGACAACTTCAACATTCGTAAAGTTAATTTACTTTAGGTAATTAAAGTGGACAGGTTTATATGTTATGTGTATAATCTCTATTTTTTGTCTATTACACAGTTATTGTTAATACTCATGCTTTATTCCATAGAACAGTAAAGGTTATCAATAATATCAATACTTGATTTTTTATTATTTCTGAGACAAGATTTGATTTTTGAAATCTTGAATTTGATTCTTGAAAATGTCCTAATAAAGACGAAACTAGTCGAACAAACAATAAATACTGCTTTATTTCTAACGTTAAAGTGAAGTATTGAAAAGTTACAGAAATAATAATAAATAAATAAAGTATCAATTATCTCTATCAATTATATTAATATCAATACTGGTAGACAGTAGTGGTGGAACAGATTGAATATGTATAGAATTAATTACATATTTTGCTAAGTAAACACTTTATGGGAAAAAATTAAATCCGTCACATTAAAATTAAAATAAAATTAGAATGTCTGTCAATGTCCAAGGTTTCAAATTAATGAATAATACACAGGTTTTGATTTCTGGATCAGAAAACAAGTATTGCATAGGTATCTATGTAGGGCCAGATATTTTGTATTTGATGTTATTAATTTCAATCTTGTAACTCGATAGCTATATCTAATTACTTCTGAGAGAGATGGTTTTGACAGACAGACAGACCTTCAACAAAGTGATCCTTTAAGAGTTCAATTTTTAAATTCTGGAACTATTCTTGTTATAATAATATTAAAATGAAATAGATAGGTGTTGGTAAGATGATAAAGGTACGTAAAAGTAATTTCACGGAGCAATCTATTGGTAAATTAAAATCATATAAACATACTCTTATACAGATTGTAACAGAAATAAGTGCCGAGATTGCATGATGTGATAGAACACAAAACATGAAAATTAAGTAAATGTTTGATATCTAAATGTTCATGGTTTTTAAGAAAAACATAGTTGAAAAGTAATTTCACTGCCGGTCCTGGTAGAGATATACGGCCCGCAACGCTGCATTTAATCAGCTGGTAATTACCAGTACCAGTGTAGTATTTATTTTGTATTTTTCTCATATATTATTTATTTGTTAGATTAGATTAATTGTGATTCAGGGCGCTAACTGCCAACTTCTCATCATCATAATGTAGTCAGTCTTAAGACTGGTTGAACCTCTACTCTTTTCTATCCTGAGCTAATTTTCGCATTTCCCTAAAACTAGAACAACCCACATCCTTAACTATTTGTGAACAGTAATCTAATCTAGGTTTACCTCTACCCCTCCTAACTCCCGTTTCTGTATTTAATATGTCTCTGACTAGGCCTTCATGCCTGAGAAGGTCTCCTACTAACCTATCTCCCCTATTTCTTATCCGCGGTATTCTTATCATTCGCCTCTAATACCACATTTCGAACGCTTCTAACGTTTTCTTTTCCGCCGCGCCCACTGTCCATGTTTTGCGCCCGTACAGCGCCGCGTTCCAAACATACACCTTTAACAACCATTTTCGAATTTATTAATTAACCGTTCACCAGCATAGACGTGACTTTTTATTGAATGCGACACGATCCTTAGCTATCTTTCCCTTGCATACCAGTATTTTTGTTTTGCTTTTATTTATTTTCACACAGTACTTTTCTGTCAATACCGTTTCCATTTTATTTAAAGCTATCTCTAACTCCTACTTGCTCGATGCTAATACTGCTATCTAAGAATACTAATCTTTTGCCCCTGTATATTTAACCCTACAGTTGTACTGTCTTTAATGATGTTGATAGCATCTTCGATGTACAGATTAAAAAGTAGCGGTGACAGTGTGACTTCCTTCCTAATATTTACTTCTCTACGTTGCACACCTAGTTCTATAACTGCCTGTTGCTCTTTATACAAACTAAGTATCACTCTTATATCTTTGGAACTCATCCCTATATTTTTAAGTATATTTATCAGCCTGTCCCATTTAACACTGTTCTAAATCTAAATCTACAAATCCTATATACGCACTGTTTCCTTTTTCTATCGTTTTTTCTATTGTTACCCGTAGAGCTAGAATTTCCTTCCGCGTTCCTCTATTTCTAAGCCAACTTCTAGTAGGTGTTTATTCTTTTGATGTTTAAACCTTGTGTAATTCAATAAGTTAATTCAGCAATTCAACCTCAATTATTACTGTGTCGGTCAGTCACCGTAGAACAGTTATTGTTACAATAATGTGACATGATACGTATTTACGTGTTTGAATCATATCTCTGCTGTAGGAACGATATCCTCAATATCTAAGAAGACAATCCCCTAAAATAGTACATGCGGAACAGCAGAGAATGTTGACTCCTCTAAGTATGGCAATTTTTAAAGAAACAGTTGCTGCATCCTTATTACCTGCAGCGAGCACAAGTCTTTCTTGTCTTGCAACTGATTTTCAGCCCGAGTCGATTTGTGTCGGTGGTTCCTAAAGAATGGTATTGCACAGCCTATTTTTTCCATCTTAGGTTGTTGTTTATAGATAAATTTGCCTTACGCGGGGCGTAATTTTGAATTATCATAGTAATCAATACTTATTGGTGCGAAATAAATTTAGCTTAATAAAGTTAGAATTATCAAGATGATGAACATTTACCGACTAACGTAATATACATTCTTTCTTTATTTTTTTTCTTTTGTGTTCTTACATTTGAATAGAGCTGCCTGTAATGTCTTTATTTAATTTATTTTGTCTCTTCATAGTAGTATTAAATTGTTTAAGTTGTTTGTTTATCTTTGACGTTCGATAATCAGTAATGTTTACTTCTCCGTCCATGTAGCTTTTAATCTTTAATGCACTACGCTATCTTGGATATTTATGTTGCCAAGTCACGCACAGGACCGGCTTTAGATTGTAAATTATTGCAATTTTCTTAAAAAACCACGCTGCTGAAGTTACCGTAAGACTGTTTATTACATTCAGTTTACACTCTCTAAAGCTAGGAACTTATTTCTGTCACATTCCACATAAAAACCGACTTCAAGGCTGCCTCTACGTAACGTATTAGATACAAAACTAAACTAAAAATTAACAACCGGAAATTATTCCCTATTTTTCTACCCTTACAGTCGAATTGAGAATTCTATTTCTTTGTGGAAGTCAGTTGAAAAAGGAAACTATCGATATTTTGACTGCAAGTTAATTTTAGCTATTTTGGTTCGAATAGTTACAATTGACAACGCGACTATTGATTAGGAAACTGTCAACGACACTTGATTGAAGGGCTGGGAAATTGTTAATGGCATCATATAATGACATTGATTAATACATCAGAAATTTGGATATTAACCAATTCACTTGATGATGTAAAGGTCAACACACTCCCCTTGAAACTGACCTGTTCGGGTTCGATTATCCTTGTGTCATTTTTTCGCTATAAAATAACATATTCTTTTAAGTTAGGCCAGGTTATGTTTAGATAGGCTATGTTTTTCATTTTTACTCAAGGTTCATGTTCACTAAGCGCTTTTCCACATTGTACAACAACATGATGGCCTAATCATCATCATCATAAGGTCATCAGTCTTTCGACTGGTTGGACACGTACCTCCACTCTTTCCTATCCTGAGCTAAACTTCGCATTTCCCTAAAACTAGAACAGCCCACATCCCTAACTATCTGCGAAGAGTAATCTAATCTAGGTCTACCTCTACCCCTCCTAACTCCTGTTCCTGCCTCTAATATGTCTCTGACCAGACCTTCATGCCTGAGAAGGTGTCCCACCAACCTATCTCGCCTATTTTTTATTGACTTCCATAGAGTCCTCTGTTCTCCTATTCTTTCCAATACCTCTTCATTTCTAACCTTTTCTACCCACGATATCCTCATCATCCGCCTGTAACACCACATTTCGAACGCTTCTAACCTTTTCTTTTCCGCCGCTCCCACTGTCCATGTTTCGCACCCATACAACGCCGTGCTCCAAACATACACCTTTAACAACCTTTTTCGAATTTCTAAATTAACCGTTCGCGAGCATAGAAGAGCATGGCCTAATGCGTGTTGTAAATCATCGTGGTTAAGTAATGCGTGCACATTAAGTTTACGAAATTTAGTAAAGAATTTGATTATTGACCTCACCTCTGCAGACAATGAAAATATTTCTGCGTTATTGTGCGAACCATTTCAATTTTGTTAACTTTCAATACTGTACAAGTAAATCAGGAATGTATTAAACACATAAAGTAAACAGCTGTTACGAAACACACACACGTTGATTGCACAATGCAAGTTTTAATTAGTTTATAAAAATGGGTAGCGTCTAATTTTGTACCTTTTACTTTATTTATCTGAAGCATTATCTTGCAAGCAAAAGATACAGAATATGAATACGAATTGCAGCAAAATACTTTTACTTGTTCCTTCTACTTGAAAGTAACTGCTTTATTTTTAAAAATGGAACTTTAGTTTAATTAATTGTATCTGGACAGAGACTCAAACGTTGTAGTACATATGTTTTTGTAGTGCTCGCCGTTATTAGTTTTATTCTATTTGAGGTTAACAATAATTAAGGTAATTCCTTTTATATTCTAGAAAACTGTTGCCATTATCCTATTCACCGGAAAAATTGTTTTGCTTTCTTTTGGGTTGGTTCACCTGGTTCCTGGCACCTGTTGTTCAGACTGTCGTTTATTTTTAGAAGTGTAGTAGTGGATCGAACACTCATCAAACCTTCTGAATTGATGCAAAAATTTGTTGGAATTCCGCTTGTATATCGTCAAATTTTCAACTTTTGTGATTTTATATACACTACTGGCCTACAAATGTAGGGATAGATATTTAGGGTCAAAAGATCAGTATGTTTAGATTTGCAGATGATATAGCAGTATGAGAATCTAGCAAGGAGGATTTGACAAAACAATATTGTATGAAAATAAATAAAAGTAAAACAAAAATACTGGTATGCAAGGAAAGAAAAAGTAGGGAAAGAGCTAATATAAAGGAGACGAAAGATTAAAAGAAGTGACTGATTTTAAGTATCTAGG